ATACAACTGTTATCCCAATCCATACACACATCAATTGTGTAAAGCGCATTTGTACATCGTTTCTCAGAACATTTTCTCTCCACTTAAACCCCCGACATTAGGTCCTCATTTTTCCCCTCTCTCCCCGCTCCCCCCTCCCTCATGAGCCCTTGATAGTTTATAAATGGGTATTTTGTCATATCTTGCGAGGCACCTCATCTTACCACAAAAACTGCATTAAAAATGTGCCAAAACACTCGGTTTATACATAAGCATATACGGTAATTAGCTGTTATATTCCTTCTCACTGTATAAACCTATCCTCATATAGAAAATCATGTGTCCCGGTTTTGTTTCTCGAGAGAACCCTGCCTAACACAGGGTCTCTCCAGCGGAGTTCATCACACCAGGATGGCACTCTTCTCTTAGTTGTGGCTTCGAGGGTTCCGTTAGACCTGCGTGAGTCCTCTGAGCCTCCACCCCTGGGAAGAACCATTGGAATGTGTTCCGTGAGAACCGTTTGGATGTACTGGTGGGGAGTCCCTGTGTAGCATGGATTATGGCACTCTTAGCTATTAATGAAAGCGTTGGTAGTTCAAATCCACCTCAGAAAACAGGCTTGGTGATCTACTTCCAAAATGGCCAGCCTGGGAGACCCGGCGGAGAACAGTTCTACAATGACACACCTGGAGTGCCACGCAACAGCAATGAGTTGTTAAAAACTCTCCCCCCTTCAGTTGTTGTTGTTGTATGTGGCTGTTTTACTTTATTGAAGTTCTTTCTATAGACCTCATTGGCTCCTTCCTTTCCAACCTGTTCCTGCGGCTGGGTGCCTGTGTAGACTCTCCCGGCCACTGCGCCCTGTTCCATGTGGACACCACCACCTTACTGTCGTTTCCTCGAGGTCAGGCACCTAGATAGCCTCCGATGCTCCCCTCCCACCAACAGTGCTGAGAGGGGCAGGTTTCTGTTGGCGCCTCGTATCCCTAGGGGTGGGGCCACTACTTGCAAATCATGCCTGCATTCAGTTTGACTGACTACTGCAGGTTCTTGCTGGGCCACTGCCGAGGTCCATGCTGTTGTGACCAGTGGGGTCTTCTCTTGGTCCCATGTGTTGTTCTCTTGCATTTGCCACCCCCGACCTCCCAGCGTTGCCTAACCAGACGCCCGCAGTGAGTCCCATTTCAGGCTCTGTTTTCACTTCCTGATCCCAGAGATCTTCGCTCGAGACCTGGGAGCACTGTGGGCAGGCATGATGCTGCTAGTGCAGAGGTTGGACGTTCAAACTCGCCAGTCACTCCCCGGGAGTGGCAGTCTGCTTCTGCAGGATTTTATCCATCACGAGCAGACTTCTGGGGGCAACCCTTGGTCTCTCCCTGCACAGAAGCAAGACGTGCGATGAGCGTTGAAACGCGTGGAAATAATTAGTCCAGCGAACGAATGGCCACGCAGATATCAGTCTCCACAGAACTAGACCGTGGCCTCCCCACCGCTCTGAGAGGGGTTGCATCAGAAGGTCCTGGACAGAGTGGGAGAAAAATGTAAAATGAAAATCATTAAAGAAGCCAGACTTACTGGAGACAGAGGGTGGGGGTGGGGAGGCCCCAGGACTGTGGCCTTAGTCACCTTTCAAGTCTGGAACGGAATTCACCTCCGTGGTAGAACAGCCAACGCTTTAAGATAAAAAGGACAGCATCTGCCGAGCGTCTACGTTCAGAGCGTTAGGGAGGAGGAAGGAGAAACGGCGGCAGCAGCGTACGCAGGGAGGAGTGGGGCCCTCGATGGTACAGTAAGGAGATCGAAGTGGATGAGCTGCAATAAAATGGGTATGAAGTGTAGGGTGTAAAACTGATGATCTGCTCGGTAAATCTTCACCTAATTCCCAATAAAATTAAAAAAAATTAGGGACATGGATTTTATTGGGCTGTATCAATTCCAGCCGAGGAAAACTAGGAAAGTCGAGGACTTCTACTCTGGCGGATAGGCCATGGAACCGATCGGATAGCTTAGAACAAGCGCACCTCTGAGCGCCAGTCTCCTTCCTTCTCGGCTGTTTGCCCCGTCTTCTTGTTTCACGTCCTGGTCGCACCGCGGGCTCATTTGAAAGTGAGGTGATCTCTTGTTGATGTGAAGGGATTCCTGTGTATTGCTGCTGCCGTTCAGTGCTGCTGGGCTAATTTCAGCTCACAGTGGCCCTGTGACCCAGCAGACTTGCCCTCGAAGGCTCTCTAAGCTATAATCTTTATGGGACCAGATCTCCGGTTCTTCTCCCACAGAGCTCCTCCGAGAGCTGCAGTCTGGGAACCGGCAGGAGCAGGTCTGCACTGTCGTCTGGGGTCGCTGTGAGTCAGCGTCAACTCGAGGGCAGTGAGTTGAGGAATGGGTATTCTGGGCTAACTGATCTCTAGATAACTTACAGATTTTGTTGTTAATATGGTGGATTTAAAAAAAGGGCCTTTTCAGAAGGACTATTGGTGATTCAGAAGTTATCGATGAAAAATGGTCTTATTTTGAGATATTCTAAGACTCAAGTTGCCCCACCCCCAGAAATAGTTCGGAGGGCTGTCCTGGATCTCTCAGCCAGTCACGTTGGCGTCGTCGGCCTCAGGTGCCTTTAGAAGGTTGTGACTCAAGCAACCCTACCTACAGCACAGCGAAGCGCCCGGTCCTGCGCCATCCTCACACCTGTTGCTACGTTTCAGCGGCCAGGGTGCCAATCCAGATCATCCAGGGCCTCCTCTTTCTCAGTGTTAGCTTCACCTCATGAGAGAACAGGGTCGAGAACTGGGCATTGGCATTGGTACACCTTAGCAACTCTGGGACAAATCTTACTAGAATCTCATCTCTAAAAACGGACTTTTAATAGTATTTTGTGTCTGGCAGTGATGCGGGCTCTATTATTTATCGCTTTTTGTGTGCACTATGTTTGGTTTCCATGTAGTTGATCCTATTGACTCCGATTCCATTTCAGGCTTCACACTTGCTATTTCTTTTTCTTTCTTTATAGCATTGGCCTTCAGTGCTCTGCCAAACAGCAGCGTGGACTATTAGGGCGTCCCGCCTTCTTCCTGATGGAATTTTTCTGAAGAGTCTCCATGATGTTTTTGACATGTAACTTTCACCAAGTTGAAAACGTTCTCTCCTAGTCCCGTTTTGCTATGAGTTTTTCCTTTTAACAACACGATGTGTTGAATCCTAATAGTTGCCTTTTTGCACGTGTGGAGACGCCTGCATGTTTTCCTCATTGAGCGCATTCTTTTCTCACTGGGTTCAGTAGTATGGTGACTCCGTTGTTGGGTTTTTGGTGCCGAGCCTTCTTTTCTTTCCTGGGGTGAGCCTGGCATGCTCACATGGTAGGGTTTTCAATATTCTGGTGTAGCTGGAAAGCTTGTACATGCTTATCACAATCCATCCATCCATCCATGTGTCGAGCACATTTGTACGTTCATTGGCATCATCATTCTCAAAACATTTGCTTTCTACTTGAGCCCTTATTATCAGCTCATTTCCCCCTCCTCCCTGCCCCCCCCCACGAACCCTTGATCATTTATGTTATTATTATTTTGTCATGCCTTACACTGTCCGACATCTCCCTTCACTCACTTTTCTGTTGTCTGTCCCCTAGGGAGGGGGTTATATGTAGACCCTTGTGATCGGTTCGCCCTTTCTACCCTACCTTCCCCTTACCGTCCCAGTATCGCCACTCTCACCACTGGTCCTGAAGGGAGCATCTGTCCTGGATTCCCTGTGTTTCCAGTTCCTATCAGTACCAGTGTACATCCTCTGGGCTCGCTGGATTTGTAAGGTAGAATTGGGATTGTGATAGTTGGGGGGAGAGGAGGAAGCATTTAAGAACTAGAGGAAAGTTGTGTATTTCATCATTGCTACTCTGCACAATGACTGGTTCGTTTCCTCCCCACAACCCTTCTCTAAGGGGATGTTGACAGCCTGCCTTTGCAGCCTGCAGCCTGGGAGGGCTCCCTGGGGCAGTTCTGCTCTGCCCTTAAGGGGCCCCAGGAGTCGGAATGGTGTGGCCAGTGGCAGTGGTGAGATCACGTTTCCTGTGGTGATTGTTAGCTCGAGTGCAGACCTGTGTCTTGTTTGGGTTTTGTAGTTTTCCTCCGTTTCTTTGTCTCTGTTCCTGCCTCCCCAGGAGTTGCTGAGCTATTTGAATAATTCCACCATCTTATCCATTATTGCCGATTCAGCGAGCCCCTGGGGGCTGCAAGCAGCAGGGGCCCAGCTGACCCAGACCTGTGAGGGCCCTTCTCCCGGCAGATTGGAGGATGGACTGGGGGAACAGCAGGAAGTTGAAGGCCAGCTAGGAGGCCGCTGTGGACGGCCAGGCGAGAGAGGACAGTGCTTGAGAAGGCTGCGTGGGGACAGATACCTGGACCAGGGTGTCTGTGGGGAGCAGGCACCAGCCAGAGAGGGAAACCTGCTTCTGGAAGAGGAGGCAGCTGTGGGGACAGGATGGGAGCTCTGGATAGGGGGAGCGTGGGGGGACAAGACGGGGCTCCTGAGCTGTCCAGGAGGACATCAGGGCTGTTACAGAGAGCTGTCATGGAGCGCTTGTGCCGAGGGGAAGTGGCCATGCTGTGCTGAGCGCAGAGGTTTAGACCCAGGGTGGGGAGAGAGGCTGGATCCTGGCGTAGCTTTCAAACCAACAGGACTCAGTGGTGTCTTATCTCACGTTTGGGAGGGACAGCATGGTTCGGCAGACACCTTCCCAGTTATGCTGAAATCCTGGCGTTGCTCTGGTGGAGCCCGGGGCTGGGGCAGGGAGGAGGAGTGAGCAGGGAGAGGCGAGGAGCTGAAGGCGGAGCCTGTGGCAGGGGGTGGGGTCTCGGCGTGAAGCGGCTCACCTGATAGGCCTGTCTGTGGCTTGGCTGGAAGCTGAGCTTGGGAGAGGCTCGTTCTAGGCCTTAGGGTGACCACGGGTCCAGTGTGGTGTGAGTCCCTCCAGCCGCTGTCAGACTGGTACGCCCCGAGGTTGCTTGTAAATGGTGTTGCTTTTGCAGATAAACTTCAACCTGGTCCTGCTGCTCCTGATGGAACTTTTCATGGCTGCCACTGTGATCATCTCTGCCAGGTCCAGCGGGGAGCTGCCCTCAGGGAAGGTGGGCCTTGGCCTCAGGGTGGAGAAGGGGCCAACCTCATGGCCCTGGTCTCAGGGGAGGAGGGAAGGGGAAGCTGTGTGTAGGGGAGGTGGACCCTGAGTGCCAGAGGAGGGCTGTGGTCCCTGCCCCCTAGCTGGCCCCCTCAGTGGGGAGACTTCCTAGACCCCTGGGAGGTAGGGCACACCACAGACAGCTGAAGCCCCACCCTCTCTGCGTGGAATGCTCAGCACAGTGGTCCCCAGTCATATTTCCTCTGGGCACGGTCACAGGGCAGTGTCACAGGAGGGCAGGGTCATAGAAGACAATGTCACACAGAGGGCAGGGGCATGGGGGCAGTGTCACAGGGACAGTGTCATATGGGGGCAAGGTCACAGAGGTGAGGGTTGGGGCAGTGTCACACGGAGGGAAGGGTCACACAGAGGTCAGGGACAGGGTCACACGGAGGTCAGAAACCACCTCGTTTTCTGGGAGGAAACACCTGTGTGTGAACATCTGCTCCCAAGGCCACCGGCGACTCAGATGGGAGGGGTTCCAGGACCCTCTGCGTGAGGGCTGCTCACGTGCTCTGGGAGCCCTTGTGCCCCTGGGTGGGCAGCCAGCGCCGAGTGGCCTCCTGGGTCAGGGTGAAGCCCCGCGTCCCGTCCATGTGTCCTTACCCCTGTCTCCTGCCAGGTGCCCACGACCGACAGAACCAACATCCTGAATGAGGTCGCCTTCCCCGCGCGGGTCCTGAAGTTCTACTCAGTGAGAACGTCTGCTTTCTGTCCCCTTTTGTCTTGTTCTCTGTGGGCCAGTGTGCCGCTGGGGGGGCTGTGGCTGGCATTGCCCGGACAGCGAAGACATGCCGTGTAGACAGCTGGGGCTGCCAACCTTGCTTCCGTGTGAGGCTGGGCTGTAGAAACAAAGTCCGTGACACTCGTAGAAGTGTAAGAAGGGCCTTTAGGCAAGAAGACACGTCAGCCCAGGCCAACTCCCACCCCTGGGTCCCCTGCTGTCACCCTCCCGAGAGCCACGTGGCCACAGGCAGGCCGATGATGTAGAACGGTGAGGTGGGAAGCAGGGAGATCCCAGGCTGCCTGGATCCAAGCTGGGGGCAGGTGGCAGGGCACTGGCGGATCTCAGGTCAGCGGGCCCTGGAGACACACAGAGTTCCAGCGGGAGAGGTTGCTGGTCCCTCCCTGGTACAAAGGGCACACCCCCAAAGAGGAACCATCCGGCCACCCTTGATTGACAGGTTGAACGCCACCCCCACCTCTACACAGGTACCATCAAGTTGACATGAAACGGAACTAGCACACCTTAGAAGGTGCTACCCTATTCTTTCTTTATTAGGGGCCAGAGTTATGTGGATAGGTGGGCAGAGGGAGCCTGTGATATGGATGGGGGAGGCAGACAACAAGTCAGGACTTTCTTGGATGTCATTTCTTTGCCACCAGTGCTATTTATTTTGGTGGTGGTGGTGTGCGTACACAGTAAAACACGCCGAGCCCACGGTTGCAGCAGGTCCGGTGTTTCGAAGCTATGCACAGGCACGCTGTGAGGGCGGCGGGGCCGTGCAGTGCCCCGTCCTGGGTTGCGATGGGTCAAGCCGACTGAATGGCACCTAACAACAGGTCTGAGGCTGCGACGGCAGTGATGCTCCCAGATTGTGCAAGCATCTCACGCCCTTTCTGAGTTCTTCCCCCCTGTTCACACACCCATCACCTGCCAGTTCCCATCGAAGCTTCCGAGTGCCAAGTGTCAGTTTGATTCCATGGTGGTGGTGTCAGGTGCCGTTCGGTCGGTCAGGCCCATCACCGGCCCATGCACTACAGAAGGACACACTGCCAGGCCTTTGCCGTCCTCACCACTGTTCTTGTGTAGGAGCCCACCGAGGCAGCCCCTGGGTCCGTCCATCTTGTGGAAGGCCTTCCTCTTTCTTGCTGCCCCTCCTGTGCCAAGCATGCTGTCCTTCTCCAGGGCTGGCCTCTCCTGACACTGTGTCCAAAGCACAGGAGACGAAGCCCCGTCCTCCTGCTTCTCAGGAGCATCCTGACTACGTCTTCCAAGACAGGTGTTTGTTCTTCTGGCAGTCTGGTGTTTCAGTATTCTCCAGCACACTGTGCAAACGCCCTGATTCTTCTAGCTTCCTTATTCAATGTCCAAATGCCCCGTGTACCCGAGGAGATTGAAAGCACCACGGCTTGCATCAGACGCAGCCTCGGGCTGCTTTTGGGGCTGGTCGCTGCAGGTACTTGAACACACCAGTCGGAAGATGAGTCTTTCTACTTCTGTAAAGACTGATAGCTTTGAAAACCCATGGGGTTGTCCTACTTGGTCCTACAGGGTCGCTGGGAGTTGGGGTTGGCTCGATGGCAGTGGCCTGGTTGGGATGAGACAGAGCTGGGGTGTTTGGGTTTGGGGTGGATGTGCAGAGGAGCACCCACCTCCACCTGATCCCCCCTGGCTGCTACGTGCCTGCTCTGGTTCATGCAGAGCACATCTTGGCGGGTGCCAGTGTGGCTAGTGCAGGCCGTTCAGATGCAGCCAGATCTCACCTGGGGCTGGGGGCCCTGGAGTCAGGGGGCGTTGGGGTCTGGGGCTCCTGGAGGATTTGTGGCCTGGGGACAATGAGGATTCGGGGTGAGTTTGAGGATGCCCCACCTCTGAGCCCTAAGGTGGGGCTGGGGAAGCTCCTCAGATATCCACAAGGGACCTGAGGATGGGTGGGTCTCGGGGGCATGGGGCTGGGGTGGGTGAGAGCCCAAGCAGACCCCACCCCAGCACGGTGATGTCTCTCTGTGCTCCTCCCTCCAGGTCATTGAGGTCATGTCCGGCATCTCGGCCTTCCTGGGTGGGGTCATCGCACTAAATGTGGACGAGGGGGTCTCAGGCCCCCACCTCTCCGCCACCTTCTTCTGGATCTTGGTGGCTGTGAGTACATGGTGCCACCAGCCCCGGACATGGCCATGTGGGGGTGGGGAGGTCCCCCCAGTTCTGGACGCGGCCATGTGGAGGTAGGGAGGTCCCCTGGCCCTGGACATGGCCATGTGGAGGTGGGGGCGCCATCCGTGATTGAGGAGCAAATGAGTCAGGGTATTTGCTATGGATGAACTTGAATCCACCCCCCGCCAGTGTTATGTGGAAGTCCTGACCCCTGGACCTGTGAACGCGACCCTGCATTTTGTGGGGAAATAGGGTTTCTTTTGCTTTGCTGTGCAGCCCTGGGGGGTCACAGTTAGGTGCTGATCTGCTAAGTGCAAGGTCGGCGGGTCAACCCCCCTGGCTGCTACCTGGGAGGAAAATGAGGCATTCCGTCTCTGCAAAGATGGCAGCCTTAGAAACTGTATCCCCTGTGAGCACGGTGAGTTGGAGTGGGCTGGGCAGCAGTGGGATAGCCATCGGAGACGCAGCGGCCCTGCTCCCAGAGGCCAGGGTTTCTTTGGATCCCTGTCCAGAATCTACTTTGGTACGGACTGAGCTTGTCCCCCTAACACGTCATGCACACGTGATTCTGGACAATGAACGAAGAAGACTTAGGAGAATTGATGCCTTTGGATCATGGGGTTGAAGAAGAGTACTCACAGGACCCGGACCGCCAGCAGAACACAGGGACCTGCCTTGGAAGACGGACAACCTCCTGCCCCAGGGAAGCGAGGATGGCGGCACTCTGACCCATCTTTTGGACGTGCTGTCAGGAGAGACCAGTCTGGGAAAAGGGTCAGTGAAAACGAGAAGCCCCTCAGTGAGATGAGTTTCACGAGGCCGCGACGGTGGCTTAACATGACAGAGGTGAGGCTAGCACAGGACCAGGCGTGTCTCCGTGTGTTGGACACAGGTCACCACAGGTCAGAGCGGACCAGACAGCATCTGATGACAGCAACAACCTGGTGGGCTTGGCCCTCCTTGGAGAGAGGGGTGTCAGTGGTCTTGTGCTGCGGTGACAGAAATACCACAAGAGCGTGACTTTAATAAACAGAACTTCGTTCTCACAGTTTAGAAGGCCGGAAGCCTGCATCCAGGGTGCTGGCTCTCGGAGAAGCATTCTCTCCTGGCTCTGGGGGAAGGTCCTGGACTCCTTCAACATCTGTGGACTTGGCATTCCCTGGAGAGCTCCGTGTGTCTTGGCATCCATCTTCCTCTGGGTCTAGGAGGTTCTCAGCACAGAGACCTTGGGTCCAAAAGGCCTTCACCACTTTTGCCCCCTCTCTCCTCGTTTTTCTCGCTCATCTCATGTGAGATAAAAAGTCCAGCAGTTGTCTGTCCGTTTGTTGTCCTGCGATGGCCTGCATGTTGCCATGATGCTGGAAGCGATGTTCCCGGTGTTTCCAGTAGCAGCAGGGACCCTCGAGATGAACAGGTTTCTGTGGAGTTCCCAGACTCTGAACAGCCTTCAGCGTGGACCGCAACTCAATGTGAAGAAGACCCAAATCCTCTCAACTGCACCAGTAGGTAGCATCATGGCCCATGGAGACAAGATCGAGGTTACCAAGGATTTCATTTTGGTTGGTGCACAACCAGTGCTCAAGGAAGCAGCGGTCAAGAGACCAGAATGACATGTCACTGGGCAACCCTGCCGTGTAAGACCCCTTTAAAGGACAGAAGAGCAAGGTGTCACTTTAAAGATTAAGGAGTGCATGGCACTCGCCATCGTATTTGCCGTCAAGGACGTGATGCTTGGTAATGTGGAGAGGCAGCCCAACAAGAGGAAGGCTTTAAATGAGATGGCTGGACGTGGTGGCTGCAACAGGGGCTCCAGCCCAGCAAAGATGGGGAGGCGGATGCAGGGCCATGCGGCACTTCGTTCTGTGGTACATCACGTTGCCGCGAGTCAGAGCTGGCTTGCTGGCACCTAAGGAGAAGAGGAGGTGGTGCAGGTGTCGCCCCCAAGGCCCCGCCTTACATGGGCTCAGGGCTGTGGCTGAATTGAGGGTGTTCCAGGCCACCCTAAACAGCGACTCTCTCCTAGAGAGGATCACCTGACTGCTTAACTGCCAAACCACCAAGAATCAGCCATGCCGAGCAGACATCCATTACTTTTTATGATGAGGATTTCTTCTGTTGTGTTAACGAGGTATCTTCCATTGCCTCATATGTACGTGTATGTGAAAGTTGGGCCCAAACAAGGAAGACCGGAGAAGAAGCGTGCTTTTGAACTGTGGCGCTGGTGGGAGTGTTGACAGTACCGTGGACTGCCAGAAGGACAAACGGTTCTGTCTTGGCAGAAGTACGGCCAGAGGGCTCCTTCGAGGCAAGGACGATGAGCCTTCACCTCACAGACTCTGGACAGCAGAGGCCAGTCCCTGGAGAAGGACACCACGCTTGGTAAAGCAGAAGGGCAGCGAGAGAGGAAGATCTTCAACAAGATGCATCGCACAGGGGCTGCAGCCACAGGAGCAGGGCTCAGGCGCAGGACCGGCACGGCACCTAACATCAACCAGGGGCTTCTTTCCTTGTGTTAGTGAGGCCATACCAGTGCCGGGTGGGTCCTAGCCCTAGTCCTTCTGAGCAGACCCAGGGCCATGTGTGCACACAGGGCAGAAGCAGCCAGACAAGGTCAGGAGGGTCCAGGCTTGCCGCAGCTTCTGGGAGCTGGACTAGACAAAGAGCCCTACCCTGGGCTATCACTTCTAGCCTCGAAACTGGGAGAGAAAATGCATCTGTTCTTTAAAGCAGCCCCTTGGGGCACCTCTGTTGGGAAGCACCAGGAGACCAAGGCCCAGAGGCCTGGGGAGGTAGGAGATAGAATGCTCCTCACAGCCCTGGGTCACGGTGGGAAGCTACAGCGGACACACAGGCTGTCACAGGGACTGGAGCACCCAGAGCAGGCGTGGGGCAGCCTTCCGTCTTGCCCCTCTCGCCCTTGTGCTGCCCACTCTGCCGTGGCAAACTGATCGCATGCTATCCTGGACGCCAGTTTTAGATGCATGAGACAACGTGCCATGTACAGCTGAGTCCCCGGGTTATGCGTGCCTGGAAATGATCACTGTATTTGCCCCCCCTCTCGAAGAGTTGAAGGGGCCCTGAGGGTGCAGGGTTACAAGTTGGGCTGCTGACCATTAGGTCAGTGTGTGAGTTCGGGTAGACTAGAGAAACGAATCCAGAGACACTTGTATATGTGTAAGAGCAAGCTTTAGATCAAAGAGTAATAGTATATTAAGAATCCCAGCCCAGTCCAGATCAAGTCCATAAGTCTGATATTAGCCCATATGTTCAATACCAGTCCATAAATTCCTCTTTAGACTCACGCAACACATGCAATGATGCCGAATGCAGGAAGATCACAGACCAGTGAGTGGAAAGTCTTGTGGATCCAGTGGTGGTGGAAGCATCTC